GGGGTGAAGGCCCAGACAGGTAGCTGCTGTGATCCAAAACTATCTCCCCCAAAAGCTCCACTGCAGACCTCACACACTGGGTTTGCTGCTCCCTCGTCAGCCTCTTTACTGAACCCCACTATCATTTTTCTTTTCTCTTTTTTCTTTCTTTCTCTATTTCCTTCTTTATCTACTTACTTATTTTTTTAAGACAGGAGCTCATTATAAGGCCCAGATGGCCTAGAACTCACAGCAAAATCCTCGGGCCTCAGCCTTCGAAGTGTTGACACCACAGGCTTAAGCCACCATGCTCAGTATCTTAATGAAGTTTTAACGCCCCTCGTCATTTGGCTGCGTCCACACTTTTTTTCTCACTAGTCTCCACCTTTACACCTGCTCCACCATCTGAAATCCACACACTGGTGTCTCTATGTACCAGTTCTACTATTTATTTTTTCTTTCCCCTTTTAAAAATGCAGGTGCAATTTGCATATGCCCAGTCTTAGAGCTTTGAAGCATACAGAGACATACATGGTATCTTCTGCCCATCTCCAGATCTCCTGCACACAAATTTAGCCTGCAAACCTCAGCCCATTCCCTGTATGTGTGCTCTGCGCCTGTGGCTTCGTATTCTTCAGAGTGTCAATCGATGGTCACATGATGGGACACAGCAGGAAGCACACTGGGGCTGGCTTCTTCCGTTCCATCTCATGGCTTCAAGAACATGCCGTTGTACTCATTTTTTCTTGTTATTCAATAAGATCCCATCGTGGGGTGGGCCGTGGTCTAGTTAGCTATGAAGGAGTTAAGGACATGCCAGGATACACACATCAACCTCATATGCTGAAAATATCAAGAAGCTGTAACTGTGGAAGTGACCCTGTGCTTTGCCCGTCCCTACACGAAGGCTGCAGACCCCTTTAACTTCAAGGAAGATGATACCTTCCTCATACCAGTGGAGAGAAGCAATCTTAGCCCCAAAGTCTGGGCCCTGAGGCTGTATTGGATCTATAGACCTGTCCCTTAGCCTCTGTCTTCACAACCCCACACACCTCCGGTGAACCACTGTCCTGGAACCCACTCACCCGCACCTGCAGTGAGTGTTCCGTCATTTTAGACAATACATCACTGTCTGTCTAGAAAGGGAGTATCTTAGCCTGGGTTCATCCCTAGTTCCACAAGACTGTGAAATGAATTTAAAACTCTGATGCTTTTCTATTGTACATCTGTCTTTTGCACATTTGGTTTCTAGAGCCAGAGATGCCACTTCAAGTCAAAGACGGGTAAGGGTCTTTATTGTCCTTATTAGGATGCCCTGTGCTCACTCGTCAGCTGAGGGGCTCACCGTGCCTCCTAATTTTGGCTAGTCAAAATAAAGCTATCCTAAACACCTGCTCAAGCTCATGTGCAGGCAGAGCATCGTTTCTCTTAGTAGCCTGGGCTTGTGGAAAGGCTGAGGTGATCTGAGAAGTCAGCCTGTGTCTGAGTTTATTAAGAAACTGCCAGATTTTGGACATTTTTGCGACACTGGTTCTCTGCTGAGCAAGCAGGAGGCTGTTGTGGCCGCTGTCATCTTGTGGCGCTTTGAGAGCCACAGGGAGGATGCTGACTGCCCCTGGAAATGGGGTCAGTATCATTTGAGGACACAGCTGTGGACGTCACCAGTCAAGAGTGGGAGGAGCTCAGAGGACCCTCTGCAGGGATGTGATCCTGGACACCTAGAGCAGCCTGGTGCTCTTGGAGCACCACACGGCCAAACCTGAGTGGTCTTCAGGTGGGAGCATGGACTTGAGTAATGGAGTATAGCAGAGGCTTAAGTGTGGAGCCTCCAAGGTTGGCAAGACTCCAGACATCAAGAGCTAACCTGAGGGACTCAGCAAGATGTCACTTTTAAAAAATAAAACGAGCAAAGTATTCTACTTGAAGTGCCTCATGTGACATCCAAACCCACATCAGTGTAAAACCCTACACATGAAGACAGAAACCTCCTAGCTGAGCTTGAAACAGCACTAAAAACCCAATAAAGGCCCTTAGGCTGAGGAGTGCACCATAGTGAAGCACGCTGCTATAGTTCTCCTGACTCTGTGCCAAGATCCACTGAGAAATCCCACAGACCCACATTAGCAGGCATCAAATAGCTCACGACAGTGAGCGCTTGCTTGAAATTTAAAAATAAATGGGGCTCAGGATGTGGCTCAGTGGCAGTATGCTTTCAATATTTGTGTAGTGTGTCTACACCTGTAAATTCTTCATGTTATCTTTATCTTGAGGATCTATACCCATGGGTGATTGTAAATATAATCAGTCATGGAGAAATTGCAGCCAATTTAGGATTCTCCTTGGGCAAGGACATTTGTACGAAAACAAAACAAAACCTTTGCTAAGAAACAAGGTACTAATGGGTAACATACCGCCTTTCAACTCACACTGTTGCCCCAGTCTCACTCTGTTGCCCCAGCCTCACTCTGTTGCCCCAGCCTCATACTGTTGCCCCAGCCTCACACTGTTGCCCCAGCCTCACACTGTTGCCCTGGCTGCTGTCACTTCCTATCTACCACCATCCTCTTGACTGACTGACTGACTGGACTATAGCCACATGTCACCACATCCAGCCTTAAATTTAATTCGTGAAGATTTTCATTATAACACTGAAATTGAAAATTTTATACCTTGGGACTTCTTTTTTAGAAAAATGTTCATATATGTAAGTTTGATGTTAATTTAAAAATGGAATTATTATTGGACATTAAAGTAGTTCAACTATAGGTAAATAAAGAAACAGTGATATAGAAAGAACTGGAAGGAAAGAAGGGAGGGAGGGAGGGTGGGATGGAGGAAGAAAGGAAGGAAGTCAAGACAGATGTGGGTGTGTCTCAGTGGTAGGCCATGTGTTTAATATGGGCAGGCCTTGGGTTCCACCCCCAGAAGGGTAAGGAGAGAAAAAAGGAAGGGGGAGAAAAGGGGAAAAGGGAGGGGAGGGGCTGTCAAACTGACTTCCAAGGTTGCTGTGCCATTTTTTGATGTCTTAAAATGTCCAGCAGATGCCATCATTCTGGCCAAGCCTAGTCCCCATCCACCCAGGTCTCACGCCATCCAGCAGGCAGCCTGAATACCTCAAGACCCTTCAGGACCCAGGAACCAAGCTACTTAAATCCCAGCCCCAGCCCCTTGTCTGCTGCCTCCTGGTCTGGACCTTGTTGCTGGCCCTGAGTAGCTCAGCTCAGCTGGCCTTTGCTCCTCAAACTCGCTGAGCACCAGCTCAAGGCCACCCTGCCAGGGACACTGGAACCTGTGCTTAACTCAGTCCTGTGGATGCTGGGCACTGTCACCAGCAGTGTCTCTGAGCAGGTCACTCATGAGGTCTTCACAAGTCATTTCACATCAGCTCCGTTTCACAGAGAAGAAGACTGAGGCAGAGAGATGCTCCCTCGCTGGCTCGGGGCACCAGACAGAGGCACCGACCTACAGTTATGTCACCCACAGAGCAGAAAGCACATGGACTCCCTGGGTCTTCTTGGGATGCTTCAGAAGGAGGCTGTGTTTGTCACTGAGGAAGGCAGAGGCCAGTGTGACAGGCCCTGCTGGCCAATCGTGGGTGAAGAAATGCAGCTCACCATGATGCATTCATCGGATGCTGAAACCAGGCTCCAGTAACATAGGTTTCCCTTAAAAGCCTGGGTATCTTTTTGACGCAATGTCCTTCAAAGCATTATTTTAAAAGGATGACACGGGGCACAGGACATTTTTAAAGCGTTCAGCAGTGAGTTCCTAAACTGGGTCTAGCGTTTGTTTATCATGCAGCCTGCTCCCCTGCACCTCCGGGGCCAGCTTTGCAAAAGCCTCTTAGCGCTCTAAGGGTCTCATCCTCCCCGCCCCCATCAGAGGTGCTTACCTCCCACCCGGCGAGGAGCAGCAGCGCCCTGCACCACTTCTCTCCCGCGGTTCTTTTATAGCTCTTATCAGGCACCTAGTTAAAGGAGCTTGTTTTTCTGGTGCCGAGGCACAGTCATGAATAGGAAGAAGAAAAGGTCCGGCTCTCAAGAGCAGTGACATTCTAGAGAGGCCAAAGCATCCATGGTATATGGAGGACTGAGAGAGAGAGACGAGTGGCTGAAATGAAGGTTGGGCCCCTGTGTCCTACAAGGTACTGACGGAGGCCCATGGAGTGCCCTTAGGAACTTGAGTGGTATGCATGGGACCCTGTGGGATACCATGGAGCTCTGCCCCTCCCCATGCAGCTTGTGAACGTCAGTCAGCTCAGCCCCTAGCCCCCAGAGGAAGTGTCACTTCCCTGGAGAAGCCTATCTTGGACCCTCTAGCTAGGCCTCCCCGCTTATGCCCCAACACCTTAACCTTGCATCCCATGTACTGCTCTGCTCTACCCATGTACCTTCACTAAGAACACTGCCCCCAGCCGCCCTTCTCAGGAAACCACACCAAGTGGACAGGCACCACCATGCTCCCTTGGGTGGCTATAGCCAAGGGATGACTATGAGGGTTACGAACCCTAGAGCCCTTGAAGGTGGATGGCTCGTGATGGCCTTCATACTCTAGGGAGGAGTTAGTTGTCAAGCTGGATTGCTCTGGCTGCTGCTGGCCACACCCCTCTCCTAGTGCCTTCCTTCCAACACTGTTCCTCTTTCCCTTCCCTGGAGAGTATTCTCTTCACCAGAATTCTCCCTTCTAGGGGACCTGGACCACGACCCTAACTCAGCATCTGTCTCCTAGATTCCATGAATGGACAGCTCTGGACAGCAGGAGTTGGACCTGGCTGGTTTCCAACAGAGTGGCAGCTTACAAACACTTGTGAGAAGGATGGCCAGGGCTCTTCACTTCTTGTACAGAGAGAACGAGGCCCAGAGTGGCAGGTAGACTACAAGATAGAGGTCCGAACCTGGGCTTCTGAATCCTCACCAGCCTAGAACGAACCCCTTCTGTATTTCCTAAGGAGGAGAACAAGTCAAGAGCCCAGAGGCTTCCTAAGCCCAGCACAAAGCCCACCCATTCCACCCCAACCCTACCCTCTGGTTCTGGCTCCAGATTTCAGGCACCTCTGACCTCATGTAAGACCATTCCTTTCTCTAGGTGGCTGGTGGCCAGGCTTCGTCCAGGCTGGGTCACCAGAAGGGCTGCAGAGCCCCCTCTGTAGATGGGAAACCTGCAGGCTTCATGCTCCATCCATTCGGATGCACACAGAGGTGTACTGTACCCAGGGAGACCAACAGGCAAACATCCACACCCTGGCCAACTGAATAGTCCAGGAAGAGCAGTGAAAAGCCCAGGACTATAGAGATCAACATCCTCAGAGGCTATTGAAGATGAACCCCACCCGCCTCATCGTCTACTTTAGAACCCATTTCCCTGGTAACCAGAAAGAGAAACATTAGCTTTGCCACCTTTGAGGATCTAAATTACCATATGAAAAGGCAGACATATTTAGATTTTGTTGAGGCCCATTAAGGCAAAACTTTTTCCTCCTGGTCAGAGTAGAATCTAAATTCTACCCCTGGCCTAGTGTGGGGACCTGGTAGTCTAAGCCTCCCCAAACATTATATACTAGCATTTTCTCCCTTAGGAGTTAATCCAACTGGGCTAGTCAATAACCTGGCAGAAGTCCACCCAGCCCCACCCCAGGAAATCTGATTCACCTGAAGATACCTAGGAGAAGGGAAGGACTAATTAGCCCCTTAATGGAATCATGTATTTGTCCCTCCCAGAAACCCCTACCTTAGTGCAAACTGCCACAGAGTTTCCACCCTGTAGCACTACGGAACCAGCCAACTTTTTAGGGTTAGTTAGGAGAGGGTAACTTTTATTTTTTCCTTCTTTTCTATATCTTTCTTTCAGATCATGCCTAAGGCCTGGGTGTGACATTCTGACATTCTAGGCCTTCTCACTCATTCTGGGACGCTCTTCCCCAACATCTTTCCCATCATGCATCTGCTAATCCACCGTGTGACTGCTCTCCGCCACTGAACACGTGACCCTCATTTACGTAGTATGGTTTTTTTCTCCTCCTCCCTTCTCCTGGAAGCTTCCAGCATTTATACTTTGTCCACCCTCCTGCTATTCTCCTCAGGTTCCTTCTAAGTCCATTTCTAAACTAAGAACTGGGAGGCAGGAAGCGCTATCTCCCCAGTAACACAGGGAAAGGTGGCTGAATGGAGCTGCTAGAGAGGGAGAGCCTGCTGTCTATCATCCCTGCTCGGGAAGGCGGGGAGGAATGTCATTCATTTGCCAAGATGAGAGAGGGGACCAACATGACACTGCCCATCAACCCTGACAACCTGGGCTTGATCTCCTGAACTGACATGATGGAAAGATAGAACTGGCCTCTCAAATTGTCCTTTGACCTCCACACACACACACACACACACACACACACACACACCACAAACACAAATACATAAATAAATGTAATTTTGAAATGTTTTAAAAAGAAATCTCAGGCCGAGCGTTGGTGGCGCACACCTTTAATCCCAGCACTCGGGAGGCAGAGGCAGGCGGATTTCTGTGAGTTCGAGGCCAGCCTGGTCTACAAAGTGAGTTCCAGGACAGCCTCCAAAGCCACAGAGAAACCCTGTCTCGAAAAACCAAAAAAAAAAAAAAAAAAAAAAAAAAAGAAATCTCAGCTGGGCAGTTCGGTGGTAGTGCACATCTTTGATCCCAGCACTCAGGAGGCAAAGACAGATCTCTGTGAGTCTGAGGCCAGCCTGGTCTACAGAGCGAGTTCCAGGACAGGCTCCAAAGCTACAGAGAAACCCTGTCTGGGAAAAAAAGGAAGGAAAGAAGAAAGGAAGGAAGGAAGGGAAGGAGGAAGGGAGGGAGGGAGGGAGGAAGGAAGGAAGGGTCTGGAAAGGAGGCAGTCCATGCAAAGGTCTAAAGAACTAAAGCGATGTGGCAGTCTGGGACAAACGGGCAGGAGGAGAGGGAGGGAGAGCTGAACTGGAGAGGAAGCAGGGGCCATACAGGGACCAACTGAGACTTTCCATGTTGGGACTGGGTTACGGTTATGGAATGGGGTGTGTTCTCTGAGGCCCCTTGTTAAGGAACGCATGAGAGGATCTAATGTGGTCCCTCATGCTGAGGAAGCACACGTGTACAGTCCCCTCAAGTCCCAGGGGCTTCCCCCAGAGTAGACAGGATGACTAGGGAAGACTACTCACCAGGCTGCTTGTCAACTGACAGCGACTTTGGTCTCTGCCCTTGCCACCAGCAGGCCAAGTGTGGAGTGTCTGGGTTGACTGACCCAACATGAAGATGGCTTGGACCGGAGGCTTAGCTAGATCTCATCTCAAATAACTGCCCTCCAGTGATCTCAGTAAAGTTCTAATCCTCTTGACAAACTTCCTCTAACACAGAGAAATGATGCCTCTTGGTTGGCCTGCCAGGGTATGGCTAGTATCAACAGAGGCTTCCAGGCACTACACTTGAAAGTAGCAGGCACTTTATCCCTACTCATGACCAAGTGCCAGCAGTCCCACCTGTCTGAATGCAAATCTCAAAGTGACCCATTTCATCCCTGATAGGGCAGGAAAGTGAGTTGTCCCTTGATCACAGCATTCAGGTACAGCTGTTGTACCTGCTATTAAGTATACTGAGCACAGGGCCCAGAGCCCTAGTATAAATCAAAGCACTTAATGCTAAGCCATGGTTCTTCCTAACTCCCCCTCTTTCAATATGTCTGCAAGCTGGCCATTAGCAGTACCTTCTTAACTGATGGTGAGTCTGAAGGCGCTTGAGTGCCCTGGCAGTAAGGTGGCCTGAAATCTGACCTACAGCTCTTCAGCATATCAGCACAGCCAGGAGAGGGGATGCCAAGAAACTGCAAGCTCAGAGGACACCAAATGCAAGCAGTGTGTAGCAACCAGGACCTCCTGTGAAGCCCACCCACAGGCAGGGCTTAGACCTGCTGGTCAATACTAAAGGGGAGGCTTGTGTACAAAGAATGAGGCCACAACACTGGCCCCAGCTGGCTTAGATCCCGCTGGAAGAATCCTAGCAGAGCTCCAGGGCTATGTGCCTTATCAGACCAAGCCAGCAGCTCTAGAGCCCTGCCCCTCACCCCACCCCACTCTTGCAGACCCGGACAGAGGGAAGCACTGCTGGGATTCCCCTAGACCATGATAGCAGGGGTTAGAGAACACGTGGCTCCTTCTCTGCCCGTCTGTATCATCTACATCTGTGGAATGAGGAGCCCCTGGGTCTGTGCAGGGGCAGAGGGTTAGAGATCTATCCACTCATGGAAGCAGTTTGGACAAAGGAGGGGTTCCTTTTGCACAGGCTTTGGCCATGGAGATCCCAGCGTCTGAGCCCTGGGCACAACAACAGCAATTTCCAGAAAACGAACCAACACAGGTCCTACCTACCAGTCGCATTCGTCTGCACTCTACTCTCAGCTACAGCCTCGCCCTGGCCTCATTGTGTCACCAGTTTGACTTGTGCCGGGGAAGGGCTTCTTTTAGGCCCTGGGACTCCTCTCCCTTCTCTCAAAGGAAACACGGTTGCCCATCTCAAGCCAGCTGCCTCTATCCGAAGGAGCTCTGGAAGGATCCTGGCCACACCTGTAGGAATGGATGCCCGGTGCTACTGTGTGGAAGGAAGGAAGGCGAGGCAGTAAGAGCCAAAGAACAAGGCAGAGGTGGTGTGTGGAGGGGGTGGGAATTGTCCATGCAAAAGGCTGCAATCCTACCCTGGGGTCTGAGAGGAGGCCACGCTGTCTCTTCTCAGCAATGTGGCAGCCATGTCCTACTCCATCCCTGAAGACGAGCTCCCACCCCAGGGAGTGCTATGGCATGTGGCAGAGGCAGGCAGAGGACAAGGAGACACACATCTCAACACAGTAGCATTCAAAGAGATCAAAATGCATTTAATGTGGTCTAGTCTCGTTGCCTACATCTTCAGTTACCGCTACGTATTGAAAATAACATGAAAATTCTCCAGTTTCACCATTTAAAATAGATTTAACATTCTTGACCTCACACAGGGCAGACACCCCTACAGGGGCCCTCCCTATGGTATGTCCTTCTGCCCCCAGGCCCTCAGCTGGACAAGGACCAGGTGGCACAGCACCAGCATGGGCTCAGGGCAGCTCTCACATGCTGCGCACAGCACCCACCCCACCGACATTCACGCACACACACACCCTGGGACCTCCATGCACTCACACATGTTCGCATGCACAGATGCACCCATGGCCTCCTTCAGGACCTGGTGCAGAGGCATCAGACTCCTCAAACCGCTGCACACTGTGCACAGCCTGCATAACCAGGGCAGGGCAGGGACTCAAGTTGGACTGTGATGATGTCTGTGGCCAGCACCCAACCTGACCAGTTCAGGTTGGTGAGCACCAAACCCATCTTACCCCAATAAGAAAACAAGCACACACATACCTGTGGGTAGACACACACACACAGACTACCTGTATACAAACACCTGTGTATACCGTATGTCTGCATACCAAGACTCACACACAGGGAGATGATCATGTGAGCACATCTGTACATGCATGCACACACGCCCTGGCTTCCCTCTTCATACACTCCCCAGGGGCCAAGCTTTCCTGCTTGGCACAGGCACATGGCTCCCCTCTCAGTGGCCTCCCCCACTTAGGTGCACTAAAGAGAGGGGCAAGTTTGGTCTTTAGCACAAGCAATAAATACAGGGAAAGAGAAAAAAGAGGGCAGGAGAATTTGAAAATGCAGCATCTGCCTGCCTTTGGCAGAGATGAAAGGCAGCTTGAGCTGCTCTCCAGCAGGGCCCAGGGACTGGACCATTCTGGCAGGCCTGGGCTGGGAGGAGGATGGGCCAGAGTGCTGAATGTTTCAGGCCACTGAGATGAGCTGGGAGCAGGCCCTGGAGGACCAGGAGCCCCTAGACCCTGCTCTGGGTGCAGACCCACCGACTCGGGAAGAACAGGTGCCTAGGCTCCCACAGTGGTACCCAGTGGCCAGGACTCACCCTTCTTCCTCCTCAGCCTGACAACTGGACAGAGGTGGGTGCAAGCCAAGCACCCCCACGCTGAATGCACCCTCAGGCCCCAGGGCCCAGGCTAGAAAAGTCAGTGAGATTGGGGCCAGAGGCTAGGCCAAGAACTAAAAGGAGCTGAGGCCTCTGCAGCAGGTCCTAGGCCGACTCTCCTAGGCTAGAAATTAGCATGAAATCTTCAACTGGATTTGCTCCCAATTCCTGGGAGCAAGCCCGCCTCAGGGCTCCCTGACTGGGCAATAGGGGAAGACTCCATGGCTTGGGGTCATGGGGGAGGAAAGGCTCCATCCCAGGCCCCTAAAGACTAAACAGAAATGGTTTTTTTTATGATATTTCTCTGGTCATCTCTATGTTGGCAGGGGTCTGGTGGGGGCTGGGGGTGTGTTCCTCTCCTTTCCTAGACTCTGCCTTCCAGCAGCAGATGACTGGCTGCCCCAGGACTGTGTGGGTGAAAGGCAGGGAGGGATGAGGTGGCTGTGAGACAGGTGGAGTACAGCCTCTGCACCCTCAGAGGGGTTTGTGAGGGCTTCCGGGGTGGAGTTAGGGGCAGCGGGGAAGGACTGGACAAGTCTGATAAAAGCAAAAATGATGGAAGCCAGACAACCAGAGTGTCTAAGGCACAGCTCAAGCTTGAGTCCAGTGGGGTGGGGCTGACCCACTCCCTAGGAGTGTGGGAACCAGACCCCATGCTAATTTCCTGGGTGTCCTTTCCTAAGAAGCACCCACTCTGGTGTTTCCTACTGGCCCTCGCTGCAGGGGTGGGGCCCTTGGGCAGAGAGGGAGTGAAGTACAACAGGGGTACATGGAAGGGGGCTCCCCCAGGTCCTAAACCCAGCCCTGATACAGCTGAGGTACAAAGTCAGACACAAAAGATCAAGCCAGATTCATCCTAGTGGGCCCCCACCCCCAGAGACAGCCAGACACTTTATTAGAATCATTAACACGGTCACAAGCCGGATTCATCCTTAAGCATGACAACTTGCTGGGCCCTGACATGCGTGAGGGAGACACCAGGCCTCTGAGAACCTTCAGGGCATTCCATCCAGCTGCTTGTCTGGCAGCTCTGAGTAGAATTCTAACTGTTCCCACACTATGATTTAAAAAAATTCAACCACGTTAGTGTTTTCTTTTTTTGTTTGTTTTTGTTTGTAAACAGTCTTATCCAAGTTAAAAACCAATGAAGTGTGCATACACAGCTCTCTCCCACCAGGGCTGGGACCTCTCCTGAGCTACTTCCAAGGCCTCCAGCAGGGTCCCCCACTCCTGTGGTTCACCACCCCAAGAGGTTGCCTCCTTGCCCATGTGTATACATCTGAGGCCACGGGCTGTTCATTCTGGTCGCCCACTCTCCCGCCAACTTCCCCAAGCTATTGCGAAAAAACATGAAAAGACTAAAGATGCTACTGAGTCTGTGACCCGAGGCATTTGGCTTGCTCTGCTCAAACCCAGGTCACCAGGGGACGCGGGACCCATCATGGTCAAGGTGGTATTGCACCTAAGTCAAGGGCACTCAAATCTCCGACTCCCGTCTGTAGGGCCGCTGCTCAAGGGCACCGCTGCTGGCCTGCAGTCTGTCAAAGTCATGTTCTGGCTGAGGGCTGCGGCCATCCCTGTCTGTAGCCACCTCGTCCTCCTCGTCTCGGCTCAGGAAGGCCAGCTCGTTCTCATAACAGAAAGAGTTGGCGCTGGGCAGGAGGAACTTGTTCTCCACCAGGTCCTTGGCGCTGCAGCGGGGCGTAGAGGGCACCTCATAGGTCTTGTGGAAGTGGGAGTAGTCAATCTTGTACTGGTTCTTCTCCTCGAAGAGCACTGGCTCAAAGCGGTGGCCCCACAGGATCTCATTAGCCAGGTAAGAACTGCGAGCCTGTGTGGTCATGGCTGTGGCCTCTACCATGCCTTCTAGGATGACCACAATCTCAAAGTCATCTGTCTCGAGGTCCTGACGGCTAATGCCGAACAGTGGGCTGGCCTCATCAATCTCATGCAAGATGGTGATGGGTGATACCAGGAAGATACGGTCCAGGCCCTTGTCAAAGCCCACATCAATGTCAATCTGGTCTAGTGGGATGTACTCACCCTCCTCCGTGACCCTGGGCTTGATGAGCTGAGCCCGCACGTGGGCCTCTACAATGTGGCTCTTACGAAGGTTGCCCACGCGCCACATCAGGCAGAGCTTGCCGTCACGTAGAGCCACTACGGCATTATGGCTGAAAAGCAGAGTCTGCGCTCGCTTCTTGGGCCGTGCCATCTTGGCCATGATGGCACCAATCATGAAGGAGTCGATGATACAGCCCACAATGGACTGTGCCACCACCATGAAGACAGCCACGGGGCACTCCTCAGTCACACAGCGGAGCCCGTAGCCAATGGTGGTCTGTGTCTCAATGGAGAAGAGAAAGGCTGCCATGAAGCCGTGGACCTGCAGCACACAGGGTGTACGGCCACGGCCCTCGGCTGGCTCCAGGTCTCCATGGGCAACAGCAATGACCCAGAAGATAATGCCGAACAGCAACCAGGAGGCAAGGAAAGCCAGGGAGAAGATGAGTAGCATGTAGCGCCAGCGGATATCCACACACGTGGTAAACATGTCAGCCAGGTAGCGCTGTGACTTCTCGTCCATGTTGGCGAACTCAATGTTGCACTGGCCGTTCTTCTTGACAAAACGGTTGCGGCACCGGCGCCGTGTATGCACCTTGCCATTGCCAAAGCCGTTGGCGCCTGACATGGTAACCAGGTGCAGCCCGTCCTCCTCTGATGACACGATGCTGTAGGGGTTGGCCCGGCTGGCTGCGGTCATCCCGGGGTCTGGTGGACCCTGGCCTGCCCCCAGGCTGACTCCAGGCAGGGGCACGTCTGCAAAAGAGAGGACAGTAGGTCTGTCTGGGCAGGCAGCCAGGGCCCATGACAGTAACTGGCAGACACAGCCCCCATTTAGTCTTCCCACCCACTTGAGGCCTGCTCCTCAATCCACCTTCTCAGCGTGGAAAATAGTCTGCCTAGACTCCTAGCAGCTCCAGCCAGAAACCTTGGCTTTCTCTCATCTTGTCTTACTTCTATACCAAGGACTCTACTTTCAAATATATTTATATTTCTTCCACCCTCATAGCCTAAGTCCTGGTCACCTCCAGCCTGGACCAAGGCAGGCGCCCCCTCACCAGCCGCACTTCATCTGCCTTACTCCCAGTCTCCATGGCAAGCACCAGGGGCCTGAAAGGCACCAAGCTGAATCCCATCCTTCCTCTACTCATAGCCAGCGGACCCTAGGAGCTGCAAAGTCTGAACAGGCAGTCCCACGGCCTTGTTGCCCAGTTGAACATATACACATACCCCACACATGCTACACACACACATACACACACACACACACACACACACACACACACACACACACACTAAACACACGAACATGCTGCTCCCCCACATGCCCCGCCAACCCACACACTCACTCCCCCAATGCTCCCCCTCCCACACACAAACACCCTCCCACAGCAGGGATGCTGTACATCATACTATGCACCCACGCTGTCATGACAGGCCTCCTCATGCCCTAGACGTAATGCACACATGGTTCTGACCCACACACTGCACACCCCAGCACAGGTCCTCATATAGAATATCTTAGCAACAATCATGATAGCTGTGACATTGGCCTGTTTTTCCCACTAAGATCACCAGCTCCCATTTATATCCCTCACTGTCTTACCCCAGATCCAGAACAGGTCTGCCAAGGCCCAGGCTCATCATATCTGACAATCCATGCTCACTTTGCCCACCTTCGTGAAGTCCACAGCATCCACTAACCACCCACAGGCCACATCCATGACTTTTCTATCATGGGTCATATGGTTCAAGGGGTATCCCTAAAGTAGACACCCAGATTGAGTCTCCTAAGGCTGCCCTAACTTCAGAACAGGCAGCCTCCCCCATCTCTGCTGAGGACTGCAGGTCTACCAACCTCCCAAGTGTCACCTGCTTCCATTACCTTTGGCCTCCTGCAGGGGATACCACATCTCCAGGCCAGCCTAGCACACACTCCTCCCAGAGAAGGCCTGAAGAATGGCACCATGGATAGTAAAACAAACCCATTTCTCAGGGCCAGGCTTTGCACACACACCATTGATCCACAAGGGCCAGTGCCAGGCTAAGCCAGGGATCACAGCACTGCCTACTCCTGGAGACTCGAGCCTGTCTCAGCAGGACTGAGCTGCAAGTCTGTCCATCAGTCTGCACACTGATGAGCTGGACATGCTACATCTCCCCAACACAGGGATGCCCTCAACCACCTGACATCACTAAGAAGCCAAAGAGATCCCAGAAGATACCAGGGTATCTGAGTACCTAGGGCTGGCTGGATGCTACCAGAGCTTCCTACCCTTGGACCCTTGAGAGTGGATCAGCCCATTTTCCAGACAAGGGGACTCAAAATAGGAAAACACTTTCCCAGTACTGGTAGGCAGAGGTAGCAATGCTGGAATTCAACCCCATCCAGACAGCACAACCCCTGTCCACATCTACATCTGAGGCTCAGAGGGACAGCCTGCAGACTCTGCTGCCATCATAGGGTTATGGGTGGGGCCCATCAGACCAGCCACATCAGGAAGCACTCCCAGGGTCTATACCATAAATCACAGTGCTGCTTGGTCCTGAAGCCTGACAGGCACAAGACACAGTCATGAAGCCTGAGAACGACAGAAGGCCTACTAGGCATGGGGTGAAACATATCCAAGACCCTCAAGTCATCCTTTAACAGCCATACAGGGTTTCAAAGAAGGAACTCCCAACCAAGACATATAGACATCAAGCAGGAGATCTGAGATCCAAATCTCGAGTCTAATGCAAAGTTCCTACCATGTGACCTTAGGCTCTACGGGCCACCTGTCCTCACTCTGACATCCTCCCCTACAGCTGTGTCAGTTGACCACCTCACCATGGGTCTGTGTAGCTGAGGCTTGGGGCTGTAATGGTGGATGCTGTTTCTGTCTGGGCCAGGAGGCAGAGGGTTGGTGGGGCTGGGGAACCCAGGGACCATTCTGGGAAGACATCTCAGTCCTGGATTTCTGAGCCTTCCAGGGGAAGGTGGCCAAGGATGGGGTACTCAGACGCCGGGGGGAGGCTGCCAGATCCCAGGAGCCAGGTTTGTGTGGCCTAGAGGCCTTGAGGGACGTCCAGCGGGTCATGGTGGCTCTGGCTCCCACTATGAGCAGCAGCTGGCCTGCAGGGAACAGAATCATAGGAATCAAAGAGTGGGGAGCCCCATCCAGAACCCTGCTCCAGGAAGGCAGCCTTCCATCGGGCCAGCCCCCATGTAGCTGAGATTGCTGCAGTCACTCCTAGAACCACCTAGGCAGTGTCACAGACCTGGGAACTCCCACTTCCGTTGCCATTCCACCCAAACCACGGAGAAAATCAGCTTCATCAAGCTTATGCCTGTTTCGAACCTTGAGCCAGAAACTGCTGATGAGCAAAGTCCCTTGTCCCAAAACACCCAGAAAATGCACACAAGCAGCAGAAGTAGACAGAGCCCTAGGGTGTGGAAGCCCCTCACTTGGGGGATGGTGAGGACAGACTCAAAAGGAAGACTGGGAAGCCAAGTACCAAAAGGAGACCCCCACACAAAGGCTTGGGCAACAGGAAGGTACCAAAGATCTCCAAGAAATGCAAGGACATGCAGGCTGACAGGCTGTTGCTCAACGGGCATGTAATGAGACTAGGAAAGAAAAAGAATGAGATTTGCTTCACTTGAAGCGCTAAGCGAGAAAAGAGGCCAGCATCCCTGCTTCATAGCTGGAGAAACTGAGGCCAAAGGAGAAAACAATGCTCAAGCCAACAGTGAGGACCATGGTAGCAAGCCCAGATTAGCCAATGGTGGCTCTGGGCACTGCCAGGAGAGAGTGAGGAGTCTCAGTGAGTACAGTACCTGAACTAGACAAGGAGAGTCAAATCTGGACAGCACTCAAGACGAGACCAAGCACAGTGGGCAGCAGAGGGCACAGAACCCACAGGAAGAAATGACCAGGCTTAAGACCAGCTTCTTGCTCTGGCACTTGTAGGCACAGCCTCTCAGCATCCAGCAGGCTTGGAGCACTGGACAGGACCAGGACTGGAGCTTTGAGCAAAAAGAGCTGCCACCTAACCTAGGGTGGGGCCTGGGAGTCACTGGGAGGTACCTCCGGATGGAGCAGGACATCCCATGCCAGTCTCCAAGGCTCTGGGCACCTCAGGTTTCCATAACATCCGGGAGGAACTGGGACAAGGCTTGGGCCCATATTCCCAGATGTCAGCAAGATACTAGCTGCATAGGCATGGGCCCTGGAAAAGGAACACTGGGTGATCCCCCTCCCTTGGGGCTCACCCAGAATGTAGGAGCAAAGGGTCAAAATTATCAATTGCTGCTACCTTCTAGATACTGTCCTGAAACTCCAACACTCTCGTCCATGTAATCCCTGTAAAGACCGTGACAAGTAACTCCTTTTCCAGGGAGGAGACTAAAGCTCAGAGAGATTGAGTCACTTGTCAAAGGTCACACAGCCTTTAAGGAGTGGAGTTTCTGTTCTGGAGCATGGAGATGAAAACATCTATCCCTCAGACCCCCAAGAACAGACTGGAGGTCTGAGGGATAGTTCACTACCAGTTCTCCAGACACCACAATGCCATTTGGAAATAAAACATACAGTACACACTGTCCTCAAGTTGGCAGTCAATAGCAGACTTTCAAGGGTCAGGGTGCTCTTGAAGCTTCCACATCTGAAGACTCCTTGGAGGTCACCTGTGTGGGGAAGGCAAGCATGTGGCCCATCTGAGCCTTTTCCTTTCACCTGTGCCCGTGGCAGAGCTCAATAATCAACCACAGAGCTTTTGCCCACTGTATCCAGGAGCAGCTAATGCAGTCATTACCCCTCCATCAGTCTTAGTATGAGAGGCTCCAAGAAGGTTCTCCACCTCAGTCACAAAGGAAATGGGAGACCAGGTAGGCCAGAGGCACAAAATTCTCCCACAATTGTGCCAGGCCCTGCCTAGAGAGCAAACCTGTGGTGGCAGGCAACAGGAAGGGGCACTTGCAGAGATGGCCTGGCTAGAGCTAGCGGCACATGACCAGTAAGGATGCTGGTCTCATTGCTAAGAGTTAAATTAAGTATGGGTGTTCAGGGGCTGGAAAGTTGAGAGGGCTGACATTTCTTTCTCTAAATCTGGGAAGATGATTCTCAGACCATTCTTCCAAGCCAGACACCCTGGTCAAATCCTCAGACAACCTTTGCCTTCATCCCTGGCAAACACTCGGGGTCAGTGCATGCTCTGGACTCCTGCTCCAAGCCTATGCTAGGCTTGAGGGAAGTAATGGCCACTCCAAGCTGGGGTGGGTAGGTCGGTGCTGCTCCCACCCCCAGCCCTCACCACTTCACAGACTCTGCCCTGATTCTAGCAGCCACATCGATGTTTCTGCCTGAAAGCTCTCTGGCCATTAGACCACACTCTGCCCATGTGCAGGGCAGGTTGGGAACCAAAACCACCAGGAGCAGGTGAGTAAACAGATCCACTCCCTGCCCCTGGCATGAGATGGCTCTGAAGTGCAGGCCCCACACATCACCTTGGCTGGATGCTCACCTGAGAATTCCTAACTGGTTAGATTCCCGCCTGTTCTAGCTCCAATCACCTGACCCCCCAGCAGTAACCCTATCAATAGCATGCTCTTGCCAACCTTTATCTGTTCCTTCTCTGCCTTGTCTCCACGCTCACTCCCCTCCGGATTTCCTCAGCTTGCCTCCCACAAAGCTACCTACACTGGTAGCTTTGTCCCTTGGACTCTCTTCACAGGGCCTCTAGTGTCTCTCATTCACAAAGGCTCCTTGAGTTCCAATATCCACCCACCCCCCGCCACAGGATGCTCACACAGCGAGCAGATGGTACAGCACCTCTCCTCCAAGATGTCCTCCACCCTCTCGCCTCTCCTACCCATTCTATGAAGACTTCTGGATACTCTCTCTCTCTCTCTCTCTCTCTCTCTCTCTCTCTCTCTCTCTCTCTCTCTCTCTCTCTGTCTGTCTCTGTTTGTCTGTGTCTGTGTCTCTCTGTGTCTCTCTGTCTCTCTCTGTCTGTGTGTGTGTGTCTGTCTGTCTCTCTCTCTGTGTTTGTGTATGTGTGTCTGTCTGTGTCTATCTCTCTGTGTGTGTGTCTGTTTGTCTGTCTGTGCGTGTGTCTATCTGTCTGCCTGTGTCTGTCTCTCTGTCTCTGTCTCTGTCTCTGTCTCTGTCTCTGTCTGTCTCTCTCTCTCCCCAAGACAGGGTTTCTGCGTAATAGCCCTAGACATGCTGGAACTCACTCTGTAGACCAGGCTGGCTGGAACTCAGAGATCTGCCTGCCTCTGCCTCTTGAGTGCTGTGATTAAAGACGTGCACCACCACCAGCAGAAACCTCCTGGATTCTCTTGTTCTGGTTTCTCCCCATCAAGGCCAGAAGCTACTTCCACATTGTTTGAAAGTTTCTCTTGTCCCAGCCCCATCTCTGACCAGTCTCAGAGGCCCTGAGAGGCTGGTGCAGGCTCTGACACAGAGGAACCGAGAGGACAATGTTCCTGCGCAGAGGACAATGCAAAGGCAAGGGCAAGGGGACAGGCAAGGAGGTGACCGTGCCATGAATGAGGAGACAGATACATGCACAGGGGAGGGGGATGGTCAAGCGGATGGATGGACACACTGGGCTGGCAGATGTGTGGGCGTCACTCCGGAGAGGAGTGGCCAGATAATGGGTGGTTTGGTGGGTAGATGGATGGTTGAGCAGATGAATAGGTAAAGGAAATGAGTAATGAATGGATGAGCAACTAACAAATTAGGGTGGATGACTGACAGATGTGTGTTTTGGTGGTCAGATGGATGGGTGGATGGGTGTGTGGACGGGGTGAGGTGGGAGGGTCCGTGGGGTGAGGGGTAGGAACCAAGCGGGAGTGGGAGGCAAAGGTGAGAGATAGACAGGGGTGTCTGGAGCCGCTGGATAGCAGCAGCTGGCTAAGCGGGCAGAAGAGACCAGTGAGGGGTGAGCGGAGGCCCCAGTGAGCATCTGTCGGTGGATGACAAGCTTCACAGGGACTCATCAGGACCTCACCCCCACCTGGAGTTGTCTCTAGGTCCCAGGCCAAGCGGCAGCCACTGTCTAACCAAGCAGCTGCTGCCATCACTCAAGGCCAGCTGAGAGGGTGGGGCCTCCAGTTACTCCCAGACCCTACAGTGAGCAAAGCAGAGCTACTGTGGGTGCTGCCACTCTCCTCAGATCGCTCAGAGGCCACAACCGACCCACCTCGTATGCCTTCACTACACCGAGGCTGAAACCAGGAAACCACTCAGACTGGACCAAGGCAGAACAAGAAAGCCACCGTTGATGATGGTGAGTGTCGTGATGTTCTCTGGGCGTGGGGCAGGCACCTCACACACATCAGCTTGCAGAACCTTCATGGGGCCACAGGGCTGGAGTGACCACCCTTCCCTCTTCAGAGAAGCACCAATGTCTCCATGGTCATGAAGAAGCTTGGGGTGCTATGCCTGTGTTCAAGTTACTCCTGCCAGGCTTTCCCCATGCCACCCCCAGACAGCTGTGGACAGCCTGATAAACAGTCTTTCCATGGATGGTGCATGGGTGAGCGAATGAATGAGGACAGGGCTAAAGTTGGGTGAGTGGCGTCAATGGACAGATAGGAAAGTGAATTGGAGAACGATAATGTTTCAAAGGGGCAGACAGGAGCTTGCCTGTGTGCACACACACCCTACAGTGTCCAGAATCAGTTTTCCATCTGTCAAAGGGACCCCAGCCTCCCTACCTATCTGCCAAGTGGATTTGGTGAGAGGATGATGGGAAGGGCTCTCAACTTCTGGAGGCCAGGACCTTGAGATGTTGTCACCTTCCCCACCTCCCAGGCACAGTCCATGGGGACGCCCAAGTCGCCCAGGTTGGCTTTGTCACACTGGCTTTTCTGGCTGGGATTAAAGAAATGGTTGGTGAGTCACCCCCACATACTAAGCCTCTGGGGCAAGTGACAATGGTAGGTTTGGAGTTGCAGAGTTATATTCAAATCAGGGCTCTTCCACTCACAAGTTGTGTGGCCCTCGGGGAGTCACTTCCCCTTTCTGTAAGCCTCTCTATCCCTCGTTACCATCTTTAACGCCACTTTGTGCCCACTGTTTGCCTCTCAGCCCTTTTTAAGAAACCAGGACTCAGGAGGCAGGGCCAAATGCCACACAACTGGGAATGTCCATGACAGGAACATCCTGTCTGTGAATTATGAATGAGTCCACACTGTGCTTGAACCGATATGCACTACCCATTACAACTTGAAGGGTGGTTCCTCCCAATGGATACATCAGGAAACTGAGACTAAGAGGTCAGGCTACATCCCAGTTACCCAGGTCAGAACTCTATGCAGAGGAGGGGACTGCCACAGGGCAACAAGAAGTTAAAGAAGGTTCCAGAGAAGAATCAAGGCTGAGAGCTGAGAATTGCTTGCTCTTCCCACCTCCTGTTGACCACCCGGCTGAGTCCTTCCTGGGGCTTCTCCCCAGACACACAACTCTAGACCTAAAACTCTCACAATTGTTCCTCTTTTTATAGGGAAACTGAGGCTTATTACAAAGAAGTGACTCACCCAAGGTCACAGAGCCAGGGGTGGTGGCCTCAGATTTATGTATACATTGTCCAGTGCCCCTACCTTACCTTACCCTGCAGCAGCTACAGCAGCCTACCAAAAAACTGTCCCCGCTTCTGGCCAGGAGCACCTTCCCAGGAGCAGAAGGCAGGGAGTACAGGGCAATGCCTCTCTAGAACTGAGGTAGCTAGCCAGTGAGGGAAAGGCTCAGCTGGCCCAGGCCTCCTCTCATGCTAAGCCTGGAAAGCAAGGCTCTGGAGGAGGCAGGCACTTCTTGAGGCTAAGGTGACAAGCCAGTCTCCAACCAATATTCTCATGAAGCCGAGCATGGCACCAGGAAGTGCGGGACAGCCACAGGGCAGGGAACAGGGCCTGGTCCAGCAAGGAGTAAAAGGCAGCATGTCAGCAGCAGGGCCAGTTTCTGGAGGGCCCCTTCCCTGGCTTCAGGCTGCATACACCTCAGCAGGTGTCACAGGGCGAGCAGAATCCTAGCTCTCACTCCTGGCATGCGACCACAGCAAGTAAGGGTCCTCGCCAGTGTTCCAGAGTGTTGGCTCTGGATGTGACACCCCACCTGGACAGGCAGAAGCAGAAAGGGGGTTCCAGGTGCATGGCTGGACATACCTAGGGGGATATCTGCATTTCCCCAGGGTAGACTCAGCCCCCTTGCTCCTCATCACCAGGATTTAGCCAACTCTGACTGAGGGAGCCTGGGGATGAGTGAGACACACTAACCCCAGTGACACACTGTGCTGATGGCCAGGAGGAGGGGACAGCACACTGTGAGCCTGAAATTGAGGCCAAGACTAGAGATTGTGGCCCCACCAGAGTAGACAGTGGGTACCAAATGCCAGGGAATGTTTTCTATGATATTTTTATCTTGAGAACATCCTCTGGGAGTTTGGGGACAGAGTGTCCTTGGCTCCAGGCCCCTGGGAGCAGCGAAGGGCAGGGACCTCTGAGTACCCTCTGCCAGGAGAGCAACAATCTCAAGGCCCCACTGTGGGGTAAGGAGCACCTGGCCAGTATTTGGGCTCCACAGGTCTCTGGGTTCCATTCCAGCTTGCTGTGTGTCCCAGGGAGGCAGATCTCCTCTCTTCTCTCATGCTCCTGCTAGTTTCCCACCTTTTCTGGACCTTTTCAATGCCAGCTCAGAACTGGAAACTTGAGGAAGACAGAGTGGGCCTCTGATTTCATTGGATGCTTTACCAGCAAGAGATGAAGGTAGCTAGATTAGAGTCACGCCAGCGTCCTGGGAGCCTAAGAAGAGTCTGGCCCATGGTGGAGAACT